CAAGAAAGTTTTGCCATTCTTCTTTTTCATTTCTCCCTGAAGATTCAAAAGAAATGAAATTTTGCTACGAATACCAAAATTAGTCTAGCTCAGAGACGAGTCGACTTACATCGTGGAATTTTTTCGAGCGATTAAACGGATCGTCGCTCCACCAAGGAGAGGATCGTTACCTCGCGAGGAAAGTATGTAATTAGGTTAAACGCGACAGTAAGAGAGACTTAAGTCGCTGATAAAACATTTGCATGCATGCACGGGACGTTAGGCTACCGTCAAATAACAATGACGGTCGATTTAATGAAGTCTGTCACTGGACTAATCTGTAGTAATAATTTTTCTCCCGCTCGTTTCGGCGATACGAGCACGTTTCTTTCTCTTCCCCCTGTGTTATCGCGATCGAATAAATTTTTGGATGTCGCTAGGAAACGATATATATGGATATCGTCCATAAATAAACGGCGGACTTTAATCGGGAATTAAACGGGGTAAATTCGCGCGAAAATGTTAATTAATCGAGATAAAGCGTGCAAACCTTCTCCAATCGCGTTTTTCTTCGTTTCGAGTTGGATTATTAATTAAACACGACGTTTTTAATTTCTCAATTTTAAGCATTGCTTGACGTTTATCGCGTGCCAACGGCTTCAACAAACCCCAAACCTCGAAGAATAAATTCATCCTTCTAGGTAAGTAAGTAAGTAAGTAAGAAAACCGCGTCTCAGAATCGTAATAAAATTTACGGGGGGAGGGTGAATTATATAGCACGGTGGAGGGAGGGGTTGACAGTGAAATAAACTCGCGACGTTATCCGTCAGAAGAGGAGGCTGGAACCTAATACGACCGGTTCGGTCTCGCGGCCTCCGGCAATTTCTGCCTCAACCTTTCCCACAGGATGCTCGTTCTCGGCTAAGAAGAAACAATTTGTCAAAGGGAATAAATTAGGAGAGCTAGGAGAGGAGATTTCCCTTCGAGCGCGATCAAGATAGTTTGAAAGTGGCGTAAAAGTGTTTGCCAACCGTTTCCCCCGCGCATGCGAATTCGATTTTCTCAGTCGCCCTTTCCGATTCGTATCGCGTGAAATTTTTCGAATTCCCATTTTCATCGAGAACAATCGAGAACTCGAGTTAAAATTTCATTATTTTCTTCGTTAGTCATGCTTGTCCCTCGTACACGAACGATAAGAGGGAAGCGAGCTAGCACATCGTTTGCTAGCTTCTATGACGGTTAATAAAATTATATTAGGGGAACCAACGCAAAGCACGATGATCGAATGATTGAAACGTTAAACGTTCAAGCTTCGATTTACCTGCTTTGTTATCGAATCGTTTGCCATTCGGTCAACGAAACTTGAAATTTGCATCGATATTATGCTACACGTATTATATCCATATTCCCTTTTGTTTCGCGAGTAAATTTTATTGGGAAAAAAAGAGTATAAAAAGAATTTTCCATCATATTCGCACGATACGTGCAAAACGTTGTTCGAGTCGATTATTTTGCAAATTTTAAACTTCGCGCAGGCTTTTGAAATTTTATCCGAATTTTACTTATAAAACGAAATGAAGCTATTACATCGATAAAAGCGAGGAGCACTCGCGACGATTCCTCCCACAAGAGATACATAAATGACAAAGAGCACGCGATTTTTACGATGTTCACGAGGAGAATATCGAATTGTAAGAACGTATAAGAAACGTATTCTTTTAACAAACATCCCTAAAAAAATTTCCCTAAAAACGACTCGTTAAATTCGAAAACCGTCTCCGCCATTCATCAATTGGATTTAATAATAAATATTTTTCGGCGTCACCGTGGCTGTTCCAAGACCGGGAAGAGGAAATAAAATGCCGAAACGATGCGAATTGCGCGTATTTGGCCGGGCGATAACGGCAGTAACGAGCCGTAGAAATTCCACGTAGCCACCGGCCGAACGTTATATCCGGGAGGAGGAAAATGGCGCGGATCGAAACGACGCCCTCCCCCACCTTCCCGTACCTCCCCGAGCTATTTTAATGCGTCGCGAGATGATTGATTAAATTTCTGCGAAGCCACGTCTCTGTAATTGAATGCGAGCTGCTCCTGATTTTTCCAAGAGCCAACTCTGCCCTCGAGAGACGCAATCCTCCGTCAAGATACCGGATGATCGCGATGGACGACCGAGCGTGCAATTTCGCCGGTACACATCTCATCGTTCTCTTCGATCGAGCCTCGAAGAAGAGAGTTGCTTCTGCAATCGTTCCAAGCCAGCGCAGCGTAATACATCTATTCGAGTTGAGCTGGCTCCTTCAAATACGCGACGTAACGAAATAAAAAGCGGCTGATTCGCAGGGGGAGGGGGATCGAGCGAGTTTGAAAAAGAAAAGAAGAAGGAAAAAAAGAAAACAATTTGTTACAGCGAATATAAATAGAGAAGGTTGTAAACTGCGCCCCATAACGCATCCCTGGGATGGGAGGAACTTGGAACGAATAAAAAAGAGGGATTAATTTTTTATATTATACCTCCCTTGAATTTCGTCAAGTTGCCAATTTTAGCCCCCCCACTGTCCCGTCTCGAGTTGAACGTAACGAGTCGTTAGAGTCCTTTGAGCACGCGTTTGGCTTCCTCTTTTGTGTCGTCCCTGCTCTTTCACCGTGCGTTTATTTTGTCGGTGGAGGACAAAAGAGGATATTCTTAAACACGCTTGTTTCTTAAATAATCTTAAATAATTTGAAAAATTGTGGCTGCGTATACGGATCATTTGTCGTTCGCGACAAGAAACGACGTTTGAAGTGTTTCGAAGGTTATAAAATGAATTCTCTCGTAAATTAATTCGAACGTGTTCCACTCGGGCGTAAAATAATTTTAA